AAGGTCCCTTCAGCCCAGACCGTTCTGTGATTCTCTGAGGAACCTTTTCATATCATTGAGTAGATGCATCCATTTTCCAGGCATTTGTTCATGTGTCAAAATTCATCTCTGGATTAAGAAATTACTGGGATGGGACTCAGTTATATGACAGTAACTTTTTCCAGTAAAGCCTCTCAAGAAGGAGGTGTCTGCCCTGCTCCTCAGAAGGTGTTTTGTCCCCTGGGTGTCACACACAGTGATCTCTGAAGCTGATGCTTTGCAGTGAGAAAGAATACCTGGGAAGTTTCAGGTCCCCTCCAAACTGTATGTTTTTTAAATGACCTTCATTCATTCTGGCCAGTTTGGTCGAGGTGTCATTTGAACAACCCAGATTGTAGAAGAGAGATTCTTCATGAGGAATTTCACTGATTATGTGCAGCTTAGAAAGTGCCAAACTAAATCAGAGTCTGAGATCTTCATGTGACATGAAAGAAGAGAATGGCATTTCCACCTTATAATAATACTTAATTTAGTGTTACATCCAGGTACTTCATTTGACAGCTTTTCCTTACAGCAATTAAAGCTTCTCAATTCCCATACCTCAGATAAGGTACGTGCTCCTTACTTGGCTAACAACAGATGCCACAATATGTCATAGCTGAGCAGCTTGTTAAAGGCAGAGCAGAGTCCTGCTTCTTATGTCCTGCCTGTCCTCCTAGACTGCATGTGCCTTCCCTCTCCAGTGTTGGCAGCCTGTGGGCAGATCCTCTTCCACCCATAGCTCAGCAGCCTGGCTTTATGCTTCTTTATGCTCTGTGTTGTGAGGACATCAGTGAAAGTTAACGTATTTTTTTATGCTTTCTTCAAGAGAATGGATCTTGGCGTGTCTGAGAGGAACAGGATTGTGCCACCCATGAAGCTGTCTCACCCTTACAACAAGCTGTGGAGTATGGGTCATGATGACATGGCTATTCCGACCAAGTATTCCCAAAGCTCACCGGAAAGGCCCTTGACTGCACTTGGTAACATGCCATCCATCACAAGGAGACCCCGGAGCAAAGACAGCATCTTGGCCCCTGCAGAAAAGGATGAATCAAATCCTGCCATTCAAGGGAACATCACCATTCCTAGGCCACAGGGAAGAAAGACTCCTGAACTGGGGATAGTGCCACCACCACCAGCACCCAGGGCTTCCAAGCATCAGACTCCATCTGGGCCAGCAGAAATTCTCACCCCAGGACGTAGCCATTTGGTTTCAGATCTTATCCCAGAGCCCTTCGGAGCTGGTAGCATGTCCTTAGACTCTGAAATCCAGCAGTCTGTAAATTACTCCTCTCGTCCGTCTCAGCTTTTGCCCAGTGCTACCAGCACTGCTGAGATGCTCCGGCCTGTCAAGGTGCAGACAGAAAACACAGGTAACGAAAGCGACTACCTTCTTGATCTACTGGATCCATTAAAAACAGCCAACTGGCAAAGCAGTGGCCCACAGCAAGGGCCCCGCAGCCTGCAGAGCTCAGCTGCTTCACCTTCTGCAGCTGGCTTTGCCTCGGTGGCAAGTGACTTTGTGCCTACTCCAGCTGCACCATTTGTCCAGCCACTTGGTTATCCTTCCCCAGCACCTCCTTTTTTACAGCCATCTCCTAACCCATTCACACAAACAATGCCAGGAGCCCTTTCGGTGTCTCTAGTTAGACCCCCAAGGGGCTCTTTTACCCCCTCTTTAGGTCACGCCTATAGCTCTAGCTTCATAACCCCTAGTTCAAGCTTCTACCCACCACAAAGACCTCAACCAAACATTTCAACGCTCTCCATGCCAAACTTGTTTAGCCAGGCTCCAGCCGTGCCACCGGCGAGCTCCTTACTGCTGCAGAGCCCTTCTCCTGCAGGCTCTCTGCAGCCAGCACGTCTGAGTGGTCCTTCTAAAACCAGAACGTTACAGGTGGGCCAGGCCAGCTCAAAGGTAGATCCCAAACAAGCACTATCTCTCCTGTCTAACGAACCCCCTTTGATCCCTGCCAGGCCAGCTAAGGGCTTAGAGTCAGTGTTAGTGTCCTCAAAATCTGAGGAGACAAAAGATCCATTTGAAGATTTGCTAAAAAAGACAAAGCAGGACGTGTCATCCGCACCAGGTAAGGTTGAACAGCTCCGAAAGCGATGGGAAACCTTTGAGTAACGCTCCCGATGGCTTTTGATGTCCCTTTGGAATTGACAGAGGATTCTTTGGGTTTTTTTGAGCCAGCATAAAACCAAACGTTTCTTTCACAGAAGGCTGAACCAGGAGAGCTGCAGGACCATCACTGTGCTGCAACTCACACACGAGTGCTTTTGGCCCAGAGTTCCCCCATTGTCCTGTTCCCTGCAGCTGCTTTCCTTACTCTCCACCACTGGAAACCCCCAGGACTTGCACTGACCAAAGCATGAGGGTAGTGGGATTGGGTTGGGTTTGGTTTTCCACACAAAGCTTCTCAGACAACACTGCTGAGGCAGAAGTTGCTCCTTCCCTTGTATTTGCAGTCCTTGGCGCAGGCGGGAGCTTGACATGGCACGTACACTGGTGTGTTGTTCCCACAGGGGGAATGGTGGTGAGTTTTTCCCGTGTTACACAATAACCAGAATCTTTTTGCTTTCACGTGTAAAGAGCAGCAAAGCAGCCCAGCCCTGTGTGCTGCACGGGGTGCATCTGTTAGCCTCTGAGTTCGCCCTGTCTCGAAATGCATCTGTTCATTTAGGTTACAATACTGGATGAGCTTTCATTGCAGACTTTGGATTTCCTCCCTGGTATACTGAGAGGTAACAGGGACTTCTCTGGTGCAGAGGTGTTGTAAGTCCTTGTTGCAACAAAACCATGGCACAGAGCAGTTGCTCAGGGTTTGGTCCTGCATCTCTGTTGGGAAACTGGAAACACCAGCAATTGTTTTAATTTTGGGGGGTTTTGTTTGCTTTTGTTAAATCCGTCAGAAAATAGAGGCCATAAAGAGTATCCTAGTTCTTATATCTGTGTATGTTAATATTATATATAAATGCTATAAATGGCAGTATATGAATGGAATGTAACAATATCTTACTTGGTTATTACAAACAAAAAAGAGAAAAAACTTGGGGTATGACAGTTCCCAGCTCGTGAGTTCGTGTTAGAGGCCAGTGTGTGGACACGCCGGCAGCGCGGCGCAGGAATACCCGCGCCTGCCTTGGAATCAGGGGTTGGATCTGGCCTGCACCTGGCTCTGCCAGCCTGTCCTGCAGTGCTGAGACCCGTTTGCTGGTACAACGCGACAGGGACTGGATGAGGAAATGGACTGTGAGGCCAGGAAGGACAGCCAGGCCCTGGGAAGTTAACGGGTACGTTCAGTGGGATTTTCTGAGACAAAAGTATTCTCCAGAAACGTCACCTTCATCTCGGCATCCCTCCAAGCTGCTGTCCCTGCAGTGAGCATTGCTGGGTTCATTCCGTGGTGCTTCTTCGTTTCGTTTTGTATTTGGGCACAATCTGCTGTAACCCATGTTACTCTAGAAGAGGTAATCACATCACCATTAGCCTTTGATAAAGGAAACCATTTTGGACACGGGGAAATTCTTGTAAAGCTTTATCCGATTTCCAATGTATCTATTTTAGTCACATAATCTTGGGAGTTTTCTTACTCAGTGTATGACGGTGGCTGTCTGCGATCGAGTCTGACGTGCCAACAGGCTGGGGGAGACTCTAATCTTACATGAATACTACATTTCTGTACAGTGCTGTTCCTCTGACGAGCCACTCGCTTGGGTTTGTATTTTCCTTTTGTGTTGGAAGACAGATGGTTTTAGTATTGCATAGTAAAATATTAAAAGTCTCCGATAAGAGCTCCACTTGATTTTATACAGTTCAGACTATGAACGGTACCTGTAAATTCAGGCTGGAATGTCAGCTCTCCTGTGCTATGAACCAGGGGATAAAACTGTCTTGGTTGTGGTGTGTATGTGCAGGCACCAGGAGGTTCCACACAGGATGTGCCACTGGAACTGCACATTGGTTTTCATTAATAGTTTTAATGTCACACAGAAACGATAAACTGAGGAGGCCTCCCACGTGCTCAGGTAATTCTGTATCATTGCCCATCTCTGGTCATTTTACTCTGCCCATGTTATACAGTATTTTATGCAGTGCTTTTTTAGACAAACAAGCACACTTGGGTTTAGTTGTTGAGTCAGTCTGAGGCACCAAAAAGCATTAACACTTCAGTAAACGCATTAATCACCCTTCACTTGGGCTTGAGGGGCAGGGGGAGGTTGGACACCCCTTGAGGTTTTATAAAAACTGAAAGGAACCAAATGTCCCCGGGCAGAATTTAGTGTTTTATTTAAAACCTCAGGAATTCCAAATGCGATTCACTCTGGATGGAACCCAGGTGTGCTTGTCTGGGGATGGAAAATGGGGCCTTTTCTGATGTAGAAATAGTTCTGGTGGTTTTTACCAGCCTGGATCAGTGTTTCTGATCTGCGTCAGCTTTCAGCTTTCTCCTGCATTCCCCATGGCTGGTTGGTGAAGCTTTGCCCAGCTACAGCAAATCCTCAGCGTTCTGGCACAGCTGCTGCTGCACTGATGGCACGACCAGGCTTACGTCCCATTCACTCACAAGGTCAGAAACGTTTTACACACAGGCATTGGAAGCTGTGGAGATACCAGAACGTTGCTGCTGAAGACCCCCTCGTTCCCTTAGGTTTTATCTACAAGGGGTTTGTGATTCCCCCGCCCATACTAGGGGCTATTTTTTAATAACTTGCAATTAGAATCCAACATCCAGGTTTGGAAATCATTTGGGTTTTTTCCACTTCGCTTGTAATTGTTGGAATTTAACACATGGATGGATTTAAAATGGGAAGTGGTGCTTGCAGGAGCTGCTGCCCTCCCCTCCTGTCCTTTGGGAATGGCATCATGGTGATGGTCCAAGAGAACTTTGTGGCACGGGGAATGGCTGCGGTCCCCTGCACAGGTCAGAATCAGCCATTTCCTTACTCTTAAGCAACCACAGAGTCAGCGGAACTTTCATTTTTAACCAGATTTTATTGTAAATTTCCGTGAAGGACATTCTAATCTTTTTACAAATTACAAAATTTACAAAAGAACCCAGGCTGTGGAACCGCAGCAGCTGCAGTTCTGTGAAAAAACAGAGTCCAAAATTAAATATCAAAAGGAAGTGAAGTTCATCATTGAAAAACCGCCGACTTTCATAAATTATCTTGCAGAAATGCTCAAGACACTGACAAAGTCTTTTAACACTTTTCTAGTACTGGCTTTGGGTGCTCGACATGGACACGGCTGCTCTGCAATCCTGGGACGCGCTGGAGCAGGACAGACCCTTCCTGCTGCCGCCCTGGAGCTGCAGCCACCTCCCTGCCTGCCATTACCTGCATTTGGCTCTGTATTGCAGAGGGGGTTGTAGCTGCTTGTTGTCCTTCAGGCTGTTTCAGTAGCTTAACTACAGTTCTGTAACAGCATCCTAGTTTTCTTCCCAAATACAGGCTGGAGTAACATGGCCTCATTTAGATCCTGTCGCTGCCTTTGGTTTTCCACAATTTAAATGGAAAAACTGGAGTGAAGCTGGAAGGTAAAAGCACAGGCCCCGACCTGGAGGCGAATCAGGTCTGCGGGTGCAGAACCCAGAGCCGAGGTGAAGGTTCTGTGGCTGATTGTCATCAACCAGCTTGTAAGTTGGAATGGAATGAAGAAAACCCCACCTACCACTGCGATGCAGCGAGGGCGGCACAGGTGCGCTCAGTCCTAGCCCTCTGGGGTCAAAGCCACCCTTCCATGGGGACAGGGTTGGGTCAGGGTGGTTTTTTGTATCTCCAGAGGCAGCACAGGGCCTGCTCCCCTGGAACAGTGCCGCCTCCTTCAACTTGTTCATCCTCTGGTGGCACAGACGCTGCTGAGCAAGGTGACCCTCACCTTTTTCCTAAGGCTGCAGTGTAACTGGTTCCAGGCAGCAAGGGAGTGACAGGGGGCACTGCCTCTATTCCACAGCTGTGAGAGACCTTCCTAAAGAGCATCTGGAAACTACACAGAGCAACAAATTCATCGGCAAAGTACCAGCAGTGTTATTACTAATAAATAAATAAAAATGAACTGAAGTTAGGGCATTTCTTTGTCCTCTCCAACCCCTCACCAGAGCAGGGTCAGCACCTGCTCCTACAGAGGGAAAGGCTGTATTAGAGGAAAAACAGTCATTGTCTTCTTCTACTTTCCAAACTGTTTCTTCTCATCACCTGTCAGTCAGCAGCTGTGTGTGCTGCAGCGCTGGTCCTGAGCAGTTGGGTGTACTCCTCCCTTTACTCAGAATTACAGAGAAAGTCACAGCTACAGCAGAAATAAAACCAAACCAGAACAATGTTTTCTTCCCATCAGCGGTGAGGAGCAATGGGGGCAGATTCACACCCTGCTGATTAATGGTGTTTCAGGGATTAAAAAGCAGCCACTGTTTGCTAAAATACTTGTGACTGATAGCTGTAGTAATTACCCTGACACACCAATGATTCCAGACCTTATCTGGCCTCCTCTGCTGCATGTCTTTCCCCAGGTGAAGAAAGAACAGACTCCGCAGCTACAACAGACACAAAGGAGAGGTGACACCACAAAATAAATACTCGTTTTAGGGCAGTGTGCCTCACTACCACACAAACCCTGGGTTTGGGTTAAAGGACATTGTATTAGTGAACTAAATCTCATTCTCCTGTACTGACAAGCCCAAACCTGCCTGTCTGAGAGGAACAGGAATTGGCTCTTTCCTGCTCCTTACACAAACACCACAATGTTCAAACCTTCAGTCCCTTAGGAAGGTCCATTCTGCTGTCATGCTTGTGCAGTGCCTGCCCCTGAGCCGGCTGTGCTCCTGTCATCAGCCTGGTACCATCACCCAGCTCACCAAAGGAAGTGATCCGTTTATCAACATACAAACATCCTCCCTGCAAAGAGGGTTAACACTGTAACTGGCAACTCGCGCTCAGAAAGGCACTTAGAATACTCCTGTGGTTTAGTCTAGGCCTAGGAGAGGTTTTAGTAGACGTGCTCGGTTTCACACAGTGGTACTCAAGTTCTCATGTCACAATGTGCACTCTATAGTGATGGAAGGACAGCAGCAGCTCTAGGAAACACCTCCAACCAGCCAGTGACCTCCTGCAGAAGAGGCACAGGCACACAGGTCTGAAACCATCCCATTCTTCACATTATTTCTTAACATGGTGTTTAATTCGCATTAATTTGACCTACCTCACGTATCTGCAGGTGCCTTTCACGGTGACCACGTGCCAGAGGCAATTGCTGCTGGCCTTGCTCTCTGGTGACATGCAGCACGACCTTGTGACAGTGAGTCTGTGTCCCCACTCTGCCACCACAGCCATGCTTTCCTCCCTCCCCTCCACATTTTCTTCCCCTCCCAACCTTTACTGGCAAATCCGTTTTACACAGTTATTGATGGGATGAGCTGCAATAACCAAGCTCATTCAAGCAGCTGAATCCTCCTGCAAGTAGCAGCAGGCACGCGCCAGTAGCCTATGAAGAAGCTTAAAGCATTACAGACCTGGCCTACAAAAACACATCCCATGACCTAAGACAGAGACGCTGTTGTGTGACCTCAGTTCTCAAATCAGCCGCTCGGTCGGGGGCATCTTGATGACGTTCCACATTTCCACTCGAGCCCCATCTTTTTCCTGACGGCTCGGGCTGTACGTTCCCTGAGTTGCTCTCCTCCTCCTCATGACAATCGCCGTGGCTGCAACCACTGCCAGGAGCAGGGCAGCGCCTGCAACCCCGACTGCTCCCACCACGGAGGAGTTGCTAAGATGGGCCCACACTGGCTGCTGCGGTAGAACAGGGGGTTAGAGCTTCCACACGGCCAGCGCTGCCTTTCACCCTCATCCCGTTCCCCAATGCCTCCCTCTGAGCTGCACTGTGCTGACAGCAGTGCCAGACAGGAGCTTCCCCCACCCTTCACTGTCCCCTCCCTGTCACACAAGAGGCCAGGGCCTGCAGAGCACCCTGGGAACCCTTTCCCTGCTCCCCCACGAGCCGCAAGTTTAGCGAACGGCCCAAAACGCGCCCAGTTCTGGCCGCGGTACCCGTGGGAATGGCTAACAGCCATCGCTCCATAGAACACGGATCTGCACAATGAGTTCAGTCATCCTGGCAGATCCCTGTGCAGGGTGGCTGTGGCAGGGCAGGAGGTCTCAGCTGCTGTTGCTGTTGAAGGCTGCTGGTGCAACCCCACACACCTGAGCTGCGAAAGCTTCGAGTGTTTTTCAGTTGACAGAAACAGACCAGTACAGACAAACCAACCTTAAACACCCTCTACACAACGCTCCTTAAAGGCATATATAAGATCTGAATCTGTAAATTAGCACCTAATTTAACCCTGCCATTGAAAGCAGATGTAACTATGCCACTGCTGCCCCAAAGGGGTAATGGAGCCAGAGCCCCTCCCCAGCCCCTGAATGGCTGGAGGAGTCCATGGGGCAGGGAGGGCAGAAGCAGAGCCTCTCACAGAGCCAGTGCTCTGCACTGACTTGGCTCACTGAAACCCGCTGGAGCAGCCGCTGCCTGCACACTCTGCCTGGTCCTTCTAAGTCCACGTCTTCATCACCACACACGCCTTAAGAAAACTGGGATGGGGTGGTTCTGCTGCTGCAAGTGCTGGAAAAAGGTCAAGGTCAAAGCAGACCTTGCAGGTACATCTCCTTGTCACTGCAGGGCCTATATTAACCGCTCTTCAGGTGGCACCTTTAGGACACTGTCCATCTCCAACCGTGCTCCTGCCACTTCTTGCTGACTCGGGCTGTAGGTTCCCTCTGATTGGCGCCTCTTCCTTGCAGTGAGAATCATGAATATGAGACCAATACTGAGTAGCAGTAAAGAGCCACAGGCTACAGGGACAGCTACTTCAATTAGTGGGGAGGGGAAGAGAGCCCCTGGAGTCCCTTTCTGTAAGAGAAATTAATGGAGAAACAATGAAACTCCCATGGTTACAATAACTGCAGTCGAAGAACCCAAAATGGTCAGATTAGGGCAAAAAGTTTTCAGAGAAGCAAGGGTACCCTGTACCTGAATGGGAAAGGACAAGGAAGGAACAAGGGTCTGAGGGCACCTGCACAGAGAATGTTCCTGTCCCTGCTTTAATCTCTCAGCAAAACATGTTCAAACCTGGCATTAAAAATAGCCCATTATTAAAAACCAAGAGCAGACCATAATAATAATAATGGGCAGAGTGAACAAGATCCGTTGAGTTCATACTCAAAACTTCTCACCAAGGCACATATTTGATGTCCCCACTAGATAAAAATGCTTGCAGACAACTTGTAGAAGGAAGGGGAAGTACATGGATGGGAGACAGAGATGATAAAAGGGCCAAGTACTGAGGAGAGAAACCTACCCGAACACACGCGCTTTAGGTTCTGGTGGGATTAAGAATGTGCAGAACACAACAACAAAGAATGAAATAAAACTGTGGCATTTTTGTCCTTAAAAAAGCTTTAAAATATTTCTTACTGCTAACACACACTAGTATCTGCCACCTTGGAGATCAAACCAGAATTCCAGCTTATTTCCATCATTTGCACGCCTTGCAGCCTATGCTAATGTCACAAAGCAATGCAGCTCAGGAGGAATAATCCCCCAGTACCTGGAAGCCCTTCTGCCATTTTCACACGATTGAAGCTCAAGTGGATGCTCTGAGCCGGCCAGAAGTCAAGGATGCGCTCAGGGTTAGTTCTAGCTTTGCACAGCATGCACAGGGTTAGTCACGAGCACCAACAGGAGAGGCGTTTCCAGCAGCCCATCCCTGCTGCTTGGTGGTGGGAGGGAGAAAGAGTGAGAGCACAGCTTCCACAGGTGTGTTCACAGCACCCCCAGCCAGCAGCCATGCCCTGTCCTCCTCCCTGCCCCGCCAGGCCCTGGCCTTTAAAGAGGGAAAAGACAAGACAGTCCTGCAAAAAGCACTGGGGAGGATGAAGATGGAAACTAGGAACCCATAAGAAGTGTCCTGGGACAGAGGAGAAAGATGCCTGAAGGAGTCTATGCATGCAAACTGGAAATGTCAGTGACCCCCTGGCACATGCATTACAGAAGCCTCAGTAACAGCAACAGCAGCAAACCCCGCCGTGGCGCACAGGCTTGTCCATGCAGTTCGGGTTAGTACATTCCCAGGTTACCAGACAAGCTACCGCTCCATGCAACAGCTCCACAGAGAAAAAGCAAGTCTTACACACTGGAGCCTAACATGCAACAGCACTGCAAGAGAAAAGTCATTTCCCACTTCAGGTTTCCTTGGTACCAGCTGATTTCCCAGTGGTGCTGGCGTGCAGGGGGCTGTGGCATGCAGGCAGCCTCAGTGTTCCCCACAGCTGGAATTCTGCATTCTCAGCAACATGGTCAAGTGAAAGGTGGGTTAGAACCCACCTGTGGCAGGGGGTTGGAAGTGGATGACCATTAAGGTCCTTTCCAGCCCACACCACTCCATGATTCTATGATTCTAAGCCTTACAGCTGCTGCACCTCACAACCCAGTTTGGGAAACCAGAAGGAGCACAAGCGAAAGGAAGGGCTTACGTTGATGTCGCAGCGCTCTCCGGTGTAGCTGGCACTGCACAGACACTCGTATTTGTTCTCAGAGTCCTGACAGGTGCCTCCATTCTGGCAAGGGTTTGGCTCACACTTGTTTATGTTAATTTGACAACTGGAAAGGAAAAGCACATTGGAATTAAATGAGGTTTGTCACGTGTGTGTTTGTGCCACAGAACACAGGATCACACAGGCTGAAATGGCCTCATTCATTTGAGAAGTTCCTGTTGCACGTTTTTCAGGTGCTTCCTCCAGGGTTCCAACAACACTGAATTCCTCCCCCTTCATCCGATCCTCCTTTTGTCATGTCTGTATGACTGAAGCCAGTTCGGGTCCCTAGCACAGTTAATGAATTCTCATGAGGCTCAGAACTACTTGGAAGCAGTTCACACTGCAAGAACTGGTATTGTCAGCAGGATCATATCAAGCTGCCTCTTGGTAAAACAACAGCTCATACAGTTTTGGAGCAGTTGTTTGAATGGCAAAAGTGCCAGAGGAGGAAGCACTGAATCTGCTCAGGCATCCCCTTGATGTAACAACTGGAGCACCAGCTCCTCTGCAGGCATCAGAGAACCAGCACTTACTTCCTTCCAGTGAATCCCGGCTTGCAGGTGCAGTTGGCTCCCCAGCTCTCACTGATGCACTTGCCACCATTCAGGCAGGTGAAGTTCTTCCCACATTGCTCAGGTGGGAATGGCCATCTGGGAAAAACAAGACAATCCCTAAAGCAACCAGGTTCTGGGGAAGGTAAAAGTGTATTTGGGCTGGTGAGGGCCACAGCACAGCCACTGGTAGCTGTAAGGAAGGAGTCTGACACAAGTGGACATGGGAACAGTCTCAAAAATCACCCATAATACCAGAGCATTACTTTGAGCACACCCAGAGAACACGCAGGAGCTGTGCCAGCACTAGGGCTTTCCTCACGCAGTTGCTTATTCTTGCTGATGAAAACAGAAGCAGGATTCTGTTGGAATGCCAAACGGCAGCACAGCAAGGCCACCAAGGCTAACACAGGTACCAGATAACTGCACCAGAATGAAGCAAGAACAACAGGGAATTGAAGCTGGGTATATCACGTAACTGAAGCTCAGCCGTGTATTTGTGTCAATGTTCAGTTTGAACAGGCACAAGTATATGGAAGTCTCAGTAACATGTTGATTCCTACCTCCTTTACTGATATGAGGCATACCTTGGTGACTAAAATATGCTGGATTTTTGCCATACTAATACAAATGCTATAAATATAGACTTTATCAAAAAAACCCAGCCCTCCTCCTGACTCCATACTGATTTCCCACCAGATTCTACATGAGCTCCATGGAGGGGTCAGGAAATGTGCACTGCTAAGCAGTGCAGGCAGCAGGTGATGGGTAAATAACCTTTTTCCTCCCAGTCCATATTTGATAAGGAGCAGGATACTCAAACACACATTTTTTCAACCAGTACACAGAAACAGTGCCTGCAGTCTTAGATCCAATGACAAAATACAACCAAGCCCTTTGCTGAAGGAATGCTGTTAGTCAGTGTAGGAGTGCAGATGTATTTTTATCTAGTATTAAAGGAAAGTATTTGTCAGGGTCAGGGTTGTTTTCAAAGAGGGAGTAGCAATGGGCATTTCCATAAATAACCAGTTAGGAACTCCTCCTACAGGTCAACTCTAGAAACCCAGCATCAAAGCTTTATCAAAACCAGCATTCTCAGCAGAGATCAGACTGTCCCCCTACTGCCCTATGCCCAGGAACCCATTCCCTGGCACCACTCTTGTCACTCCAAGACATGCAATGCACCTGGAATCTAGAATACAGGACTTGCACTTTAAACAGCTCTGAAATGTGGCAGGGGGCTAATCCACAGGAAAAGGAAGGACCCTTATCCTGGATGAGACTGAGCACCTGACAGGGAGGATTCGGACCTGGACAGCACCTTCCAATTCACAGCACAATTCAGGTGCTTCACCTACCAGATACTTGCAATGAGAAATTTTCCCAAAATAAAAGCCCAATTTATGTGCTGCACCAAACCAACCAAGGCACTTACTCGCAGCGAGGTCCTGAATAGTGAGGAGGGCACTTGCAGGAGTAGCCATAAACCCCATCGATGCAGGTAGCCCCATTCAGGCACTGGTGCCGCACGCAGTCATCCACGTTGATGTCACACCTCTTCCCAATGAACCCCCGGAAGCATTGACACTGGAAATCTGCTACTTCATCAACACAGTCCCCATGCACGCATGGGCTGGACTGGCAGTCATCAATGTTAGCCTCACAGAGCAGCCCCCCCCAGCCAGCACTGCAGGCGCAGCTGAAGGAATTGAACAAGTCCTCACAAGTGCCAGCATTGAGGCAAGGGCTGGAAGCACAAACATCAGCACCAGTGCAGCCCAGCTGGATGGTCCTTCTGCTGGACTGCTGGAACTGCTCTGCCTGGGGGTACGAGAGGTGGCCAGTGAATGGCAGGTAGATCCCCCCGATCCTCACTTGTCCGAGGCAGCCGGTGAAGTTTTCAGCTACAACAATGAGCGCGTTGCTCTTCAGGAAGTCCAAGTTCCCAGCAGTTCCCTGCAGAGTCATATTAACAGAGTCATCCAAACGAATGAGCCATCTGGAAGAAAGGGCAGATGGCTCTTCCATGGACACAGAGATGCTGTGCCAGGCACCGTCCGTGATGGAATTCTGACTCAGGAAGCTGACACCTTCGATGCTATTCCCACTCCTGATGTCAACAAGCAGGGAAGAGTTCTTAATGGCTATCTGGAAGGAATCCACTTCTTCCACAGCCCAAAGCAAAACAGCATCTTCATCCCTGGTTCTGAAGTCCACATGGAGGCTGCTCAGAGTTCTAGTCACTGATGCACTGCTGGTAAATTCAATTGCAGCATAACTATCAAATGTTGCATTAGACAGACCTAGAAATAAAAAGGGTGGGGTAGAGCATAAGGGATTTGAAAGACAGTTGGTGTCATGTTGGAGACAGACCAATGGCAAACTCCTGGCATGTTCTCTCCTTAAGAACCATGTAAGCTTAGTGTGAGTAGGATTACAGCCCTAGCTGCTGGCATCCTTAAAGTCCTTCCTGTTTACAACTGCACCTCTAATAATAATATCCAGCTCTTGTGCAGCAGTTTTTACTCAGCAGTCTCACAGCACTGCACAGAAACACTATTCCCCTTTTACTGCTAAAAAAACTACAGCATAAGTCACATCCAAAGCTGCTGAGACAGGATGGTGGAGCTGGGAACACCCCAACACCCAAGTTCCAGGACACTTCCTAGCCACTAAACATCCCTCCCTCCACATCAGGGCATCACTAGCCAACTAGTCTCCTTATTTTCTATGGTTCTGTCTTAAGAGAGAACTCAGATACACCTGCAACACTGAACTGGTCCTGTGTGGTGAAATAACCCGAGAGTCTAGAAACGGCTGAACCTTACAGAGATTACAGACAGTGAACACTGGAGATTTTACCATCAGATAAGCAGGAGAACAGTACTCACACACGTATCCTGCTGGAACATCTACGCAGGCGGTAGCTTCAGGACAAGGGTCACTTTCACACCAGACTCTCTCTTCACAAAATTTCCCAGTGAAATTTGCTGGGCAGCTGCAATGGAAATCATTCCAGGTGACAGCGCATGTGCCCCCGTTCTGACATGGTTCAGACTGAAAAGCAAACCAGCAGAATTTAGAGGCAGAGTAATTCCTCTTTGCATCTAAGAGAATTTGGTAGAAGGAAACGTGACAGCAAAGATTAGTACAAGCAGGGCTTGAATCAAGAAAGAAGGGTAATTAAAACTGACTCAACAGCAGCGAAGAAAGCATAAGGGTCTTTCCATAAAAAATTCCCAAAATCCTTCCTCTCCCTGGGTGCACTGGTGCTGATGAGATACTCCCCAGGCAGAGTTCCATCAATCTAGAAAAGATCAAAGCACTAAAGCAAAGGTGAGAAACAGAACAAACAAGCTGCAATGCTCCTGGAAAGTTCTGTCACTAGGAGGACACACCTAATACCAGAGGCATGGCAATACGTTACAGCACCATGAGCAAGAGGGGCAGAACTAGGGAGTATGGTCACCCCACCTTCACGCGTGGTGTGAAGGAGAGGCAGCTGCTCATCTAAGAGCACTATGGAGACAGTTCATTGAACTGTCCTTGCTGAAGCAGCAAATTCCTGGGAAAAGAGGTTGTTGTGCAATTGAAGCAGGAGGAAGGGAGGAGCTGGAAAGGTTACTGCTGTGAGGCTGGAAACTGGAACAAGTGTGCGGGCTCAGCAGAACAGAGATAGGCCACATAAGAGCAGGACTGCCCAAGTTCCACAAACTATAAAAACTACAGGGAAAACTTGGTGCTAAAATTGTACGTAGATTATTGAGTGACAAAGGAGCACACAGGACTATGTGTCCTCCAAAACTTAAAAATAACCATCTTCCTGGTATCAGCGACAGTCGAACTCTTCTGTAAGCACAGAACTATAATAAACAACTGCACGCATGTAGAGCCAAACAAGAGGCATCATACCTTGCAGGTGTTATCAGAGATGCAACCGTTCACCAGATTACCACTCTGAGTCCTACTGAGCTCCTGTGGCAGACTGTAGTTCTCAACATGAAGAAGCTGTATTTGGTGGCTGTTCAGCTGGAGGTCTTGCAAACAGCCTTTAAAATAACCTCCCCACATATCTGCATTGTCTGGATTAGGATGCCCACCAATATACACTTCATAACCAGCTAAAAGAGGTCTTGCTATGAGCTGTCCCAGCTCCACACGCACGTCTGATTGGTGAGCAAAAACAATTCCTCCTTGGAAAGACAGAGCTACCAAATGTCTTCTGCCATCAACCAGGTTTTCTGGAAATGTCACAGTATCTGCAGACAACATCTGTATCCGCAGCCTGCCATTCCTCAAGTACACGGTGAGGCAGGGGGCAGTTTCACTGCTGAACTGCAATAGCAAACCGTTAGGTTTCCGAGTCCGAATGAAAAAGGAGATGTTGAAGTTTGTACCAAGGCTGTCAGAGAGGCTGAAAGAGGCAAAGCTGGTGGAATTCTCTAGGCCAAATGTTGCTGCCGGGCGCTCTGGAAAAGAAAAGAAACTCACATCAGCTCAGTGGCAAGGGGAATGCAGCTGGCACAGGGATATTCTAAGCAGCAACTCTGTATGAATGTGGCAAGATCATTCTTCCCAACATTTTCAACATGGATCAGAGTAATTGTGCTCTCTCCCCATACAGGTCTGTTAAATTAAGTAGGCGAATGCACCCTTGCTTTCTCTGGAAGGCATGAATTCAAGCACCCAAGTCACGGAAGAGGGAAACACAGGTCTGGCAGAGCCCTTGCCATGTAGCAGATTGACTCAAGGACTTGTAAACTACAAATCTGCTTTTAAAATGTGTGAATTTGGTAACAGCAGAACCACCTTGTCCTTGCCATGCTTTGGGCTGAGGGGTGACACAAAAAATTGAGCAGGATTACTGTAAGCCTTGCAGGAACAAAAGAAAAATGCAAACAGATATTACTTTAACTCAAAATTGTCAAAGAGCTTCCTTTAACACTGTGTTTTATCTATAAAGAAATACATTCTTCTTCATCCTCAACTCTGAAGCTCAAGATCAACTTTTCACAGTAAGACAACTTCCCAGACATGCTGCATTCACATAGATCTGATACAAAGATAAAGTCAGAGCCTCTGGCTCAACAAGGAATAACACCTGCATCACAAACTGACAATCATTCCTGCAGGAGCAAGTGACAGGGAAGGGATCAATGAGAATTTTATTCCCAGGGGGGTTTGCTTTAGTTTTCTCACTGGTCAAGTACAAAATACTGCTTCCAGAGCTAGCATCACTGCTTACCCGGTATCTTTAATGCTTATCCAGTATCTTTAAAGCATGGGGTGACAGAGGAGCTGGCAGATGTAAATCACATGGCACTTACCATATGAGCAAGCTGGGCCTCCATAAGGCCTGGAACAGTCACACCTGTAGGCTGCCCAAAGGTCCACGCACAGCCCTCCATGGAAACAGGGCTGGGAGAGGCACCACTCAGTCCGGTCACAGCCCTGCATCACTGGGGAGGACTCGCCCTGAGGCAGGTCCGCTGGGAGCACAGCTTCAGTGTCTACCTGCAAGTCCTCCATGCAGCCAACAAAGCCTTGCTGGCTATGTGTGTTGTTGGCCATTGAATCCTCGGCACCTCCCACATACATGTTCAGGAAGGTATGTGGGACCAAAGCAGTGCCATGTGGGACAGGAGAGCTCTTCAGGCAGACACCTGCATCACAAGAGTCATGCCAGAGCTTTAGCTCCATAGTGCTGTGCAGAACAACTTCGACTTTATGCCATTGGCCATCATCAACTCTCAGTCCCTCCAGGAGCAGCAGGTACCAAACATCCTCCTTCTTCAGTCCTGCATGCAGAATGCCATCATAGAGCTCCAGGAACAAGTATTCAGCTTCATGGCCTCGGTAAAAAAGGATAGCGCTGGGCAAGGTGGTTCGGAACCGGAGGGACACGCTGGCAAGCTGATCTCCTGCTACGTCCCTCCTGCTCTGATTGTTCACGGGCAGCTCAATGAGGAGATACCCTCTGGAAGCAAAGGAAAATGTTGTTGGTGTTGAGCATGTGGCATCATAGAAACCAGGCTGGCACTGGCACAGGTGGCCATGGCTCTCAGCTTGGTAGGTTGGGATGCACAAGGCCTCATTTTGGCAGTCATGCGTCTGGCACCCAGTGAGCTTGACAGAGCAGTTCTTCCCTCCCCATATAATGCCATCCTGGCTAGGGGCACAGTGGCAGGTATAGTCAGCAATGCCATCCTCACAGACAGCTCCATTCTTGCAGGGACCCTCCTCACACTCATTGATGTTAACAGCACATTCCACACCTGCGAAAGAGATTTAGAAATGGGATCTCACTGCAGGGGATTGTGACTCCCTTTCCCAGACCAAGCCTGGCAGGCACAGGCTGCCCTCCAAGCCATTCTCTTCAGGAAACCACCGTGAACCAGAGCTCCCAGCAGGAAGCCTCACGATCACTACATAGTGGCCTACCACTGACATAAGAGCAAAATAACCCCATACTTCTGTGCTGCCCTCCAGATGCTGCAAAGAAGGGGCTATTTAGAAAACTTCAGCCAGTTGGCCCCCATCATCCACAACAGTCCTCTCCCAGACAACCTCCAACACCACACGTAACCAACATGCAGAGGACCTTAAAGAAATACAACAGCACAGAGAAGGATTTTATGCTTCTTTCATAATAGATTTGCTATGTTGAAACTCAAATTAAGTCTATAGATCTGACCACATCTACGGGGGTATGATATAATAGGCATCACAGAAACATGGTAGGATGGCTCCTATGACTGGAGTGTTGGAATGGAAGGTTACAGGCTCTTTAGGAAAGACAGGCCTGGCAGGCGGGGAGGGGGAGTTGCCCTTTATGTTAGGGATAGGCTGGAGAGTATGGAACTCTGTCTGGGGACAGGGAGTTTGTGGGTCAGGGTTAAAGGGAATACAGCTATGGGAGACATTACTGTGGGGATCTGTTACAGACCGCCTGATCAAGGAGAGCCTGCGGATGAAGCACTCCACAGACAGATAGGAAAAGCCTCACGCTCGCAGGCCCTTGTTCTCATGGGTGACTTCAACCACCCTGACATCTGTTGGAAGGACGGTACGGCCCGGCACAAGCAATCCAGGAGGTTCCTCGATTGTGTAGAAGACAACTTCCTTCTGCAAGTAATAGAGGAGCCGACAAGGAGAGGTGCCGTGCTTGACCTCGTGCTCACCAACAGGGAAGGGCTCGTTGGAAACATGACTCTCCAGGGCAGCCTTGGATGCAGCGATCATGAGATGCTCAAATTTGAGATCCTCGGGACAGTGAGAAGAGCATGCAGCAAGCTCACTGCCCTGGACTTCAAAAGAGCAGACTTTGGCCTCTTCAGGAACCTGCTTTGGAAGGTTCCATGGGATACAGCCCTAGAGGGCAGAGGGGCCCAAGACTGTTGGTTGATATTCAAGGATCACCTGCTGCAAGCTCAGGAGTGTTGCATCCCAACCAGAAGGAAGGGCAGCAGGAGGGCCAGGAGACCTCCTTGGATGGATAAGGAGCTCCTGAGGAAAATTCAAATGAAAAAAGAGGCTTACAATAAGTGGAAGGAAGGACAGGTGGCATGGGAAGAGTACAGGGATGTTGTCTGGGAAGCTAGGGACCAGGTTAGGAAAGCTAAAGCCCAGTTAGAATTAGACTTGGCTAGGGATATTAAAGATAACAGGAAGGGATTCTACAGGTACATAGCAAGTAAAAAACAGACTAGGGAGAATGTAGGCCCCCTCAGGAAGCTCTCAGGAGAACTGGCTACACAGGATTTGGAGAAGGCTGAGGTTCTGAATGACTTCTTTGCCTCGGTCTTCACTGGCAAAGGCTCTGACCAAACCACCCAAGTCTTGGAAGGCAGATGCAGGGACTGTGAGAATGAAGACCTTGCGCCCACTGTAGGAGAGGATCTGGTTCAAGACCATCTTAAAAATCTGAATGTGCACAAGTCCACGGGTCCTGATGAGATCCATCTGTGGGTCCAAAGGAGCTGGCAAATGAAGTTGCGAAGCCACTGGCCATCATATTTGAGAAATTGTGGCAGTCAGGTGAAGTTCCCGACGACTGGAAAAAGGGAAATATAACCCCCATTTTCAAGAAGGGGAAAATGGATGACCCGGGAATTACAGACCAGTCAGTCTCACCTCTGTGCCTGGCAACATCTTGGAGCAGATTCTCCTGGAAGGCATGCTAAGGCACATGAAAATCAACAAGGTGCTTGGTGACAGCCAGCATGGCTTCACTAAGGGGAAATCCTGCCTGACCAATGTGGTGGCCTTCTATGATGGGGCTACAGAACTGATGGACAGGGGTAGAGCAGTTGACGTCATCTACCTGGACATGTGTAAAGCATTCGACACTGTCCCACACAACATCCTTGTCTCTAAATTGGAGCGACATCAATTTGATGGATGGGCCACTCGGTGGGTAAAGAACTGGCTGGATGGCTGCACACAAAGAGTTGTGGTCAATGGCTCAGTGTCTGTCTGGAGACCAGTAACGAGTGGGGTCCCTCAGGGATTGGTGTTGGGACCAGTCTTGTTCAACATCTTTGTCGCTGACATGGACAGTGGGATTGAGCACGCCCTCAGCATGTTTGCCGATGACACCGAGCTGTGTGATTCAGCTGATACCCTGGAGGGAAGGAATGCCATCCAGTGGGACCTCGACACGCTTGTGAGGTGGGCTGATGACAACCTCATGAAGTTTAACCTTGCCAAGTGCAAGGTCCTACACCTGGGTCGGAGCAATCCCAGGCACAGCTACAGAATGGGCAGAGAAGAGATTCAGAGCAGCCCTGAGGAGAAGGACTTGGGGGTGCTGATGAGAAAATGAACATGGGCCGGCAGTGTGCACGTGCAGCCCAGAAAGCAACCGTATCCTGGGCTGCATCAAAAGGAGCGTGACCAGCAGGGCGAAGGAGGTGATCCTGCCCCTCTACTCTGCTCTTGTGAGACCACACCTGGAGCATTGTGTGCAGTTCTGGTGTCCTCAACATAAAAAAGGACATGGAACTGTTGGAACAAGTCCAGAGAAGGGCCACGGGGATGATCAGGGGACTGGAGCACCTCCTGTATGAAGACAGGCTGAGGAAGTTGGGGCTGTTCAGCCTGGAGAAGAGAAGGCTGTATGGAGACCTCATAGCAGCCTTCCAGTCTCTGAAGGGGGCCTATAGGGATGCTGGAGAGGGACTCTTCATTAGAGACTGTAGTGATAGGACAAGGGGTAACGGATTAAAACTTAAACAGGGGAAGTTCAGATTGGATATAAGAAGGAAATTCTTTCCTGTTAGGGTGGTGAGGCACTGGAATAGGTTGCCCAGGGAGGTTGTGAATGCTCCACCCCTGGCAGTGTTCAAGACCAGGTTGGACGAGGCCTTGGGTGATATGATTTAGCGTAGGGTGTCCCTGCCCACGGCAGGGGGGTTGGAACTTGATGATCTTAAGGTCCTTTCCAACCCTAACTATTCTATGATTCTATTCTATGATTCTACGACCAGAGACACTGTTACAGATGACATTAAATGGGAAGTTAACGGAAAGCCTCAGTTAAGAAAATTCAAATTCTGAAATGACCCTGAGTTGTAAAACACTCACAACTCGATCCACTACCAAATACCAAACAAAACATGCTCCACAGGCATTTTGCCACACTTGCACTAAGCTGATTCCTGTTCTGTCCAGAAGTGAACTGGGTAAAAAGCACCGCACTGTGTATGTCTGTCTCCTGGAGGCACATGGATCCCAACAGGGCTCTAGTAAATTACAAGACATTACACTCAAATCTGGCTAATGAAATCCTGCTGTCATTTTCCTGAGTATCTCCAGACTGATAGAAGAGCCCTTCTGAACCAGTTCACTTTATCTAGCCCATAACACTGGTTTTCACTAATCTTCAGAGACAGTCACATAGATAAACCAAGCATGGATTATCCCAATCTAATAGCATTACCCGCTCGAATCTAACCAGCGAGCACAATGAGGACAGCGGAAAGAAAAAGAAGGAATTTGCACACAAAGGAGGGGAATCAAAACACAAAAGACATTTAGAAAGAAAAGCCACTAGACAGAATGTGCTTGTCAAAGAGATTAGAGAGTTGCCTGAGGGGAAGAGATGAGGGGAGATGGGGCATTAGGAGCACTGGAGCTGGACTTGATGTGTGATAAAAAAGAACTTAGCAAAGAGACAGGCTTCTGCAATCTTGATAGTTTGTCCCCCTCATGCTCCAGCAATGCCTCACAGTTTGCACAAATCACTAGTACCCTGCCGTCTAACCAAGCTGCTTTACTCCTTTTTAGCCCCCATGTTCAGTGCTGTTACCAGTGCTATCTCTGCAGACTGGTGAAGCTTCCAGCTCCAAAATGTTGGTTTGTGTCACTGTAGGGACAGAACATGTATGGAGCTCTGAGAAGCACTGAAAGGAACGGAAGGCTCTGATAATTCTGCTCTTTTCCAGTTATGCTAGAGCTGTTCTGTAGGCAACATTACCTCAGATTCCTCTAGGACACAGCTCTACTGACCTAAACTGCTTTAGAAGAAAACCGCTGTGTAGTGCCTGTGGAAAAGCACTGAATTTGGCTGATAACATCTGCCTTGAAGAAGAGCTGAACTCATGGACAGATTCAGAGTTGCTAATACTACCTTCAGCACAGGCCTTTTTCTCAAGCTTTTAATGCTGGGCTTGCTCAACACACAGAACCTGGTGTGTGATCTTACCTGTAAAGGAAGCAGCAAGGACAGAATTAAGATTTCAGCACAAAGCTATAGCCAGACTTGAAGGAAATTAATTGGAATAAATAGAATGTAATGGACATCTCTCAGCTTGGAGAATCCCAGCCTGGGAGAAGATGGGAAGACTTCAATTGGAGTTAAGATAAATCAGGAAAGCAGTAGAACTATGTGGCACTTTCTGAGTTATTAGTGGATTGAAGGGCTCTCAGAAGTGTAAGAAGCAAATCTGCAGTCAGATTTAAAGGAGGCAGCTGTTGAATGGTGTCAGGAAGACAGGTCTGATACAGCCCAAATCCTTGAGATGCTGCTCATTTCAGATCAGAGCTGTTGATATTTACAGGGCAATGAGGAGGATTAGATAGCGTCGGGTTTGGATAACAAAAGGAGAGATGCTTTCAATCTCTGCATTTCTGAGAAGGCTGAGAGGCAGGGTGGGGAGCCCCATTTTCCACATCACATTCCTGGCCTGACCACATCTCTCTTTCCTCTGGCCAGTGTGCTCTGCCCATTGTGCCGCAGCAGGAATCCGGCCTAGGCAGCTTCCCAGCTGATACC